TACAATTCAGTGCTCAGTTTTGTTTGCTAGAAATAAGTGAAATGAATACATTATGTGTAAATTTAAATTCCTGGGTCAAGTGCAAGTTCTTGACTCTCCTGGCCAGGAATGGTGAGATAAGCAAATCTGGACTTTCGAGGTGTAGAAATCAGGAAAACACTCAGACCTCAAACACTGCATCTTTGCTGTTTGATTGAGACTTTTCAATACCTAGAGATCAACACTATCATCTGTAACTTAATATACTTATTTAGTGGCAAATCTTGCTGTGCACTGTAGAATTGCCATGCACAGTAGTATCAGTAAGTAGAAAGGTCGTGCTTTTTCATGCTATCATTTGTGAGGTAGTGAAGGATGAGAGAGAGAAAAGAAATTGTGCACTAGTAATGTGTTCCCTTAAGTCGTGCTTAAACATTACCTAACAAGTGGGAATACTTAACTTCAAATACCACTTTAAGAGGAAAAGAGCAGTATATTAACAATCTAATAACACTCATAGAATCACAGAATAGTTTGAAGGGACTTTAAAGATCATGTAAGTCCAGCCCCCCTGCCATGGGCAGGGACATCTCCCACCAGAACAGGTTGCCAAAGCCCCATCCAGCCTGGCCCTGAACACCTCCAGGGATGGGGCATCCACAGCTTCTCTGGGCAGCCTGTGCCAGTGCCTCACCACCCTCTGAGTGAAGAATTTCTTCCTTATACCTACACTAAGTTTACCCTCTTTTAGTTGAAAGCCATTACTTCTTGTCCCATCTCTATACTCCCTGACAAAGAGTCTCTCCCCACCTTTCCTGTTCGCCCCTTTAGGTACTGAAAAGCTGCTATAAGGTCTCCCCGGAGCCTTCTCTTCTCCATGGTGAACAATCCCAACTCCCTCAGCCTGTCTTGGTATGAGGTGCTCCAGCCCCTTGATCATCTTTGTGGCCCTCCTCTGGACTTGTTCTAATAGGTCCATGCCCTTCTTGTGCTGGGGGCCCCTGAGCTGAACACAGGGCTCCAGGTGGGGTCTCACGAGAGCAGAGCAGAGAGGGAGAATCACCTCCCTCAGCCTGCTGGCCGTGCTGCTTTAGGTGCAGACCAGGATATGGGTGGCTTTCTGGGCTGCAAGCTCACATTGTCAGCTGATGTTGAGCTCTTGTCAACCAACGCCCCCAGGTCCTTCTCAGGGCTGCTCAATTCATTCTCTGCCCAGCCTGTATTTGTAGTTGGGATTGCCCTAGCCCAGATGCAGGACTTTGTACTTGGCCTTGTTGAACCTCCTGATGGTTGCACAGGCCCGCTTCTCCAACCTGTTGAGGCCCTTCTGGATGGCAGCCCTTCCCTCCAGCGTGTTGATCATATCAAGCATATGTAGGGCAGAGAATACAGTGAAATGATCGGGCCCAGCCAGCACGGGTTCACGAAAGGCAGGTCGTGTTTGTCCAACCTCATCTCCTGCGACTGTCTGACCAGACTGGTAGATGAGGGAAGGGCTGTTGATGTAGACTACTTAGACTTCAGCAAAACCTTTGACACAGTCTCCTGTAGTATTCTCCTGGGGAAAGTGGCTACCTGTGGCCTGGATGGGTACACTTTTTGGGTAAAGAATTGGCTGGAGGGCTGTGCCCAGCGGGTAGTGGTTAATGGAGTTAAGTGCAGCTGGCGTCCTGTTACAAGCCGTGTCCCCCAGGGGTCGGTACTGGGGTCTATCTTGTTTAGTATCTTTATTGATATAAAAAGATTGATATCAAAGAGCAGTCAGGCACTGGAATGGCCTGCCCAGGGAGGTGGTGGTGTCACCGTCCCTGTCGGAGTTCAAGAAACACCGGGATGAGGTGCTACAAGATGCAATTTAGCGTCTTAGTGGGTAGTACGGGTGATAGGAGGACAGTTGGACTAGATGATCTTGTAGGTCCTTTCCAACCTTGTGTTTCTATGATTCTATGATTTTGTTTGTTGCATGTCTTTCTTATAACTCCACTTATTTCCTCCTTACATGTAACATTAATTATTTTTGGCATGAGTTAATGACTTGGGCTTGGCACTTTTTTTTTTCTCCTTTTGATGCTGTTTTCAATATGTTTTATTTTGCCTTCAGTGTGCTATTTTCTGTTGTCGGGGGGGCGGGGGGGGCGAAGGGGTGGGAATGAGGTTAGGTTTGTAAATGTGATACCAGGCTGCAAGCACCTCTTGGTGTGACTTAATATATTCCTATTGGAAGAGTGAGCAATAGGTCTGTGGTTTACTTGTCAACGGGTCCAGAAAAGTATGTCTTGGTACTGTGCTTAATAAAAAGCTATCTTTAAAAATAATAATAATAAAAAAGCTAAATACTCTTAAAACAAATTGTTTCCCTTATTTTCAACAGTTTTTTAAAAGAACAAAATAAATAATAATAAAAAAGCGTCAATGTCTGTCTATTTTATTTGAGGGATCTGAAATACATTTGCTAATCCATAACCAGAGTCTGCTCAGACTTGCCAGCAGCACAAGGGAAACTGATGAGAGGAGTGGAGGAAAATACATCAATCAACTCTGTAATGTGTGTGCTAGGAAATCTAATTATCTGATTATTGCTGTAGCACTTCAAAAGTGGGGCAGCAAGTCATAGTGACTAAGTGATTAGTGAGTCCTGGAAAGGAAAAGGTGAGAAGTGTTATGTTCAAGCTGAGTGCTGTCAGCATATAGTGTCTTTTTGCCTCTGCTTTCTTTTCTCACAGTGTGGAATTGGGGATTAGTACAAAACTAATTCACTTCTCATGCATATAGTGTGGTCAGCCATGCAGAAGCACTGGTACAGTGAACATATAACAAAATCCAAAGCGGTGGACAGACATCGTAGAGCCTGGCAGAGGGCCAATGCTGGGTGAAGAGCTGTCCTTCACACTATTTTCCTCCAGCATTAAGTCACAAGTGCCTTTCTATCTTTACTGCATAGCTATTGAAAAGTTGTTTTTTTTTTTTTTTTTTTTTTTTTTTCTTTCCTTGTAAGCTGCTGGTGGCCCAGAAAACAGTGAGGAAGAATGAGTCTGAATGTATTCTAACTGAGCAGTGAATCTGGGAAGTTAAGGAAAAGGAAGATTTTGTGTTTGTGTGGTACATTCCTTTAACAGAAAGCTGGTAAATGAATAAAAACTCTGAAATTAAAAATTGGAATTGGGGAGCGGGGGATCCTTTTGTACAGGGGCATGCTTCATGGCAAGGCAGTATGCTGGAACCAGGTCAGAGAAGATTGCGTCGAAGGATGCCTGGATGTAGGCAAGGAGAAGCAGAGGAGAGTAAAAAAGGCGACTCAGGGTGCAAGTTCTAAGTTTTCAATGAAAACTGATGGACTATTGCCAAGTCAGGAAGGAAGAGTTCATTTTATATACATATATATAGATACATGTATATATAATATCCATTCTTTTTCCTATTTTTTAGTAAGGTTTTTGTAGCAGCATGGAGAGGATGGAACTGCAGGGCTGCCCTGTGCTGGATGCAGCCAATTCTACAATGGACCCACCACTGGACATAGATGAACCTGAACCCATCAGTGAAGCTGGTGGAGCCTCAATGAAAACATGCATAAGAAAGGGTAGAAGAAGCTGAGAAAGAGGAACAACATGGTGGTAACTGTAGTAGGAGGAACTTTGGTGGAGTGGTAACATCCCTGATGTGTTTGCAACTTATGAATAACCCTCATTGTTGGGAGATGTCTGGAAGGAAGTTGAACAGGGGAAAGGGGAAAAGTTTTTTTTTTTTTAATAAGTGCTGTCTTTGTTTTGTAATACCAGAATCAGTAAATAAATGGTTTTTAGTTGGAATTCAGAGAAGTTCCCCAAGTCTAGATTTACAGTCCCACGATGAAGATGAGGATTTTTTTTTTCAGATCAGATAAATGGGGATAAATGGACATGGGGGGGGATAAGTGATGTGGTGTACAGCTGGCTGAAATTAATGTCTGAGGAAGCACGAGGGAAACAGGATTTCATCGTAGCCTTCATTCCGGGGAAGGTACTTCTAGAAAATGATGCTGGGCCAGGTGCTGAGTCTCCTTTAGAGCAAAAGGGGTAGAAGCAAATGGGAACTGAACACTCCTGTCACAGAACAGGCTCTGAGAACTAAATGAGGTCCTTCCGGGCAGCCTCAAGTGGGATGGGAAATTATCTGACAGAAAAATCACGAAAACGCATTTTATTTTTTTGCATTTTATTTTTATCCCTGGAAGAAAGCAGAGCTCGTGCTTCCCCCTCCGAGGAAGGCAGCAGCTCCCTCACAGCCCCGCTCCCTGCTGCGAAACCCCTCATAGACAGCTCCAGTTTTATGCTCGCTTTTGCTGAAGAGCCTCTCCGAGGTAGGAGAGAGGAGGAAGCCTGCCCTGAGGCTGTTCCCCGTGCCCGTGCCCGTGCCCGTGCCCCTCAGGGCCGCCCCCGGCCGCCATTTCCTCGCGGGCGGCGCCGCGGGCACAGGGGCCTCCACCCCGGCCCCGTCCGCGGCCGCCATTTTCCCTCCGCCCCTCCCCGAGCCCCTTTTATAGCAGCCCCCGCGCCACCATTGGCTCCTTCCCTTCAGCGGGGCGGGCCTCTCCCCTTTCCCGACCAATCGGCCGCGCCCTCCCCCTCCCGACGCCGCTTCCGGTCGCGTGGCCGGGCGCGCCCAATGGGCGGCCGGCGGGGGGGGGGGGTGGGGGCGGGACGCCTCATCCTCACCGAGGCAACGGCGCGGCCGGGCGGTTCCGGGGGCGCGCGGGGCCGGCGGAGGGCGGCGGCGGCGGCGGCGGCGGCGGCGGGTGAGTGCTCGGCGCCCGGCCCCGCCTCCCCCGCCGCGCCCCGCCCCTCCCCGCCCCCCCCCGGCCGGCCGTTAACGGCCGCGCGCGCTGCCGGGCGGCGGGGGGCGGGGCGCGGAGCTCCCCCCGGTGACGTCACCCCCGGGGCGGTGGCGGAGGCCCCGCCCCCTCCGGGCGTTGCCATGGCGACGGCAGCGCTGAGGCGGGGGGGGGGAGGGGAGTGGGGGGGTGCGGGATTTCCGTGGTGTTTTTTCGCAATAAAAGTTGCTTTCCTGCCTTATTTCCGTGCGTCTCTGTGGCTCCTCGTTGCTCGCTGCGTGCTCGGGGCTGTCTCTCCACGCACCGCTCCTGCCCTGCGTCCCCCAGCCCCCTGTCAGTAAACGCAAAGCCCCGAAACGCTGACAAGCTCCCCCCCAAAAAAAAACAAAAGCTCCCAAAACGAAAAAGCCCCAAAACGCCACAAGCTGCCCCAAAACGAGCCCTCCGCATGGCCGGGGCTCAGACGGAGCCACCCCCGCGTGCGCCTCCCCCTCCCCTCAGGCTCGGGCCGCGGCGGGTGCCTGCCCCCGGGGCTGGGGCTGGCTTGTTTTTTTCTAGGATTTCCCCGCTTGTCGCCTTTTAAATGCAGTAAGTACGTGGGGCTGGAGGAATGGGATCAGGGCTATCCAGTGTAGGAGAGGCCGGCAGAGAGGAGAGGTGAAGCTCTGCAGGCAGCTGGGGAGGGAAAGGCAGGCTGAAGTGGAAGCAGCAAGTTTGGGAATGGCCCTTGAAGAAGGGTGTGGAAGGGAAGGGACTGGGCAAAAATTAACGTGGAAGGATGTTAATGAGATGAGTTTAACGTGCGTTGTCTTTTTAGCTTACTGTGCAAACCATACAGCTGCCTCGCTCGTAAAAATCACCACATCCTCAAACCTGAGTGCGTGTCAAGGCCTAATTCGGATTTTCAGTCTGGAGCTATACTGTTATTTAGGCTTTAAATAGCATCTGTACCCTCATTTTTAAAAACAACTTCTCTCCCATCTTTATTACCGTGCCTACCACCATACTATTTTTCTTCTATTTCTGCAGGAATACGCGGTCCATACTTGCTCCTCTATCATACTTCAGTCTTGGTAGTGCCCCTGTTAGGTGTGTGCTGTACACACCTTAGTGAGGTGCAGGGAAGTGGAGTCTGTGGCAGACAGGCTGTGTTTCGAGTCACCTCCCGTATCAATGGCTGCTGGAGCTCTCTTGCTTCTCACTAGCCAAAAAGGAAGTAAATTGTAGTGGTTGTGACGTTGACTTGAGCTCTGAATTCTGTACGTGAGACTTGCGGTTGGATGTAGTTTATAAAAGGTTTTACTCTCTGTAGAATCTGTGTGTTGTAGAGGTAATTAATTTTGTATGAATAAATCTATTTATATTCACATAAGTAAACATAATTATTTGTACTATGTGTGTTTATAACTATATGAAGATACATATATGTATTTAGCACCTAAGGGGGAAAGGAGTGGAAAGAAGTAGCTTCCTAGAAAGCTGTGCTAATTTTCAATGTTGCAAAGATGGCTTTGGTAAACCAGTAACTTTGTTCTGTGCCAGCTCAGAGTGTTGACAAACAACGTTTGCATTGTTATGGTTGTTTAAGCAGGAGTAGTATTTAATTCCTGGAGTGAGCTGTATAGCACTTGCAAAATTTGTGGTTTAAATCCTACATATTAAATATCCTTTATTTCACTTATTAGTGTTTTTAGGTTACAAGTAGTCCCTTTAGGGGTGATAGACGTCAGGCTGGAATATCTTGATGCATTATCGGAGGTCTTCATCCATGCATTACAGCGACATGCTTCTTGTTCACTTCCTGAATTAATCCGACACATAGAATATGCTATTCAGTTTACCAGCTGAACTAGAGGAGTGATAGTGTCGTTATTTGTCTGTAGATAAGAGAAGCAGTAAATACAGCACATTTATTTTCTGACTCTTGAGGAATACAATACGTTTTTCTATACTATCATTTGGGAGCTTTTACTTTGTATTCTAGAAAATAGTGTCAGTTTTTCCATGAACTTTCTATACACATAAAATTCTATAAACATGTTAAGGGTTAAGATCCAAAAGCTAGCTAAAAGAATGGGTTTACTAAATTATTTGACTTTGACTTAAGTGTATTGTGGTTCGTTAATAATCATGGTAGCTGTTCTTTTTCTCTAAGCAAACTTTACTGTCTTGGGCTTATTTGGTATTATTTTTAGAAATACTTTGCAATTAAAAAAATATTCCTTTTTTCTCTTTCCCCTGTAAATTAATGGAGAACAATAAGGGGAGGACGTAGAAGGCTATGGAAGACTAGGAATGAGTTCATTATAGGATCTTAAACAGCTTTTTCTTTCAAAAGAAAGAAAAAGATAAGGCATTATTTTTATTCAGATGCTGCAATTCTGTGGAGAACGTGTTAATAATTTCTGATAGGCTTGAATTTGTGTTAATGTATGGTTTCTACATCACCTATGTAAAATATCAACACAAAATCATGCAGGCAGCTGCCAGCACGTGATTTCAGGATAGGAGGTTATGCATGTATCAGTACATACCATCTTTTAGCTTTTGCTAACATTGTTATAATGATGCTTAGGACTTTTCACATGAGAAGAGGATGTCACTTTTAAGAGGCCAAGGTTATAACTGTGAAGCATCATTGTGTTTAAAACTAGTTAGGCATGCTGGGTGGAGAAATATGGTGTGTAATGTTGAATAAAAGAAGACCGTGGAAAGCAGCTTTCTCAGTCGTGTGCAAGCCTTAGATCAGCAGTTCCCTAGAACAACTGGCTAGGTTATTAGGTTCATGTCTCTTAAGGGGAGCCTAAAGACTGATTCCAACTTGCAACATGGACTTTTCCAGCTGAGTAGGTTATCTTAAGTCATGCTGATACTGCTAGCTAGGAAAGAGGCAGAACTTAGAAGCCCTTCTTTCAACAGGTGCTCTCGCCTTGTTTCAAACATGTCTTCCAAAAATTCTTTCTGATGTTGATATATATGAAATATGTCTGTTGGAAATCCGTATCTAACATTTGCATGTGATTTGGTTTTAGGATGATTCCTCTCCAGAATTTATTTTTGAATGGAAGCATGCTCTTTTCCAATAGAAGATGGTGATCCTAACGTATGATCATGGAGAAGGGGATAAGTTCGATAGAAGTGTTACCTTCCAAATCATCTCAGGTTACAGCTGTAAAAGTGGTGGTCAAAGAGCCCGAAACAAAGCAAACCCAAAGAGGGAAACGAGTGGGATTTGTGCTTGTTCATGCAGGTAAGCCACAGAAGCATAACAGCTGGAATGGAAATAGTGTGTATACAGACTAAATATCAACTGAAGTTTTATATTGGCTGTGGTCTGCTAGTATGTTAATGAAACATTTAATGAAATGATATAAACTTTGGATGTAGATGTGTGAGTGGAGAGTTTGTGTGGAAGTTGCATTGGCTGGAGAATCTTGGGAGCTGGTGCTAAAAATGTAATTTTTGGTGTTCTGAATGGGGTGTGTGTGTGTATACGTATTTGTATATATAATTATATGCATTTGCTCTTTGTCAAAAAAATCCTTAAATTTCACAGTTGTAAAACATCAAATTCTTCAGTTACATCTGCTAATAGGGAACCCTGCAAAATGTGAGAGAGGTCTATTCCAGTCTGTTTCTTTACCCTACAGAAGGATCAAATAGAGCTCTTTCATTACTGACAATTTTTTGTCTAGCTTGTCCTTTAGCATGTCTAGTTAAGACTTTCTGAAACCTTTGGCAATGTGTTGCAGTATTTGACTCTTTTTATACTTTGAAGGTTTTCTCCAAGTCTATTTTTTTATTGTGTTCTTTTTTAAGTGAATTGTTATTTATTCTTTCCACATGTAACAAAGAGGTCTTCTACTCAGATGTGATATAAAAATGATGTACTATGTGTCTCTTGTTCATAAATAATTTTTAATAGGTTCCTTTTAAATACCGTAAGTCTTGAAAATATGAATAACATTTACATCTGGATATACATTTGTTTTTAGCTGCTGAAATCCTTCAGGCAAAACCAAAAAAGTCTCCATGGTGTTTATTCTCGGTTGATATCGGAAGACCCTGGTATTTTATTTAAAGAGCAGATTGAATTGATCAATACCTTACTCTTTGCTGGGTTATTTTACTATTTAAAATTCCATTTTTTTTCTTTGCTAAAAGTGTTAAAACTGATTTTATTAGAGTTTATCAAGGCTGGCATTCCTAAAGGTGAGGAAAGGGAAGTTGAAATCAATACAAACGTGTTTGTCAAGTTAAAAAAAAAAAAAAAAAAAAAAGGAAACTAAAGGTCAGTGTGCTCATCTTGTCTGCTGTTTTTCTGGTACTGTATTGAATCAAATAGTGGACACTGATAAATTTCCCAGGTATGGAAATAGGGGACAGTGCCTAAAACCAGGGCAAAATGGGTAGGTGCAACAGGATAGGCATAGAGACTGAAAATGAGAAAAAGACGAAAAAGTGATCCATCCTTATTTCAGGGACATCTTCTGGTTCTAAAACTGGAGTAATGAGCTCTAAGAGTGTAGCATAAATATGAGAAAATAAACAAAATAGTAATTGGCCAACTTACAAATCAGCAGAAAAAGGAAAATTGGAGTTTGACTTTTTTTTTTTCCCCACACGGATGGAGGTTAAATGAAATAGCAATGCTGGAAATCCTTCATGAATGAACAAAACTGGAGTCACTTCAGGAGTGTTTATAGGAACAGATTATATGACACTGAGATTTACACCTGTATGCTCTGTACTCTGTAAGTGTATTTGGATGGCATAAAGTTGTCAACCACTGATACAAAAAAGAAATGCTAATGTAATCCAGACACCTTCTGTTTGCCTGTGTCGTAATTCTTGCTTTGAGCTATAGGCAGTAGTTTGCTAAGTAGTATAATCTCTTTTTCTTTTGTCTAATTGTAGGTGCAGGTTATCATTCTGAATCCAAAGCTAAAGAGTATAAGCATGTGTGCAAAAGAGCCTGCCAGAAGGTACGTCTTACCATCTCCACAGTCTTGTACTGGGTGTGTAAGAAATATACAGGGAACACTGTCCCTTTGCTGTAAATAGGCATGTCGTAGTTTAGCTACTCATGAACGTGTGCGTTGCTAGAGGAAAAAATGGAGCAGCAACAGTTAACATGATGGCTGTACAGAGTCACTACAGTGCTTGGCCCCAAGGTGCAGCAAGTTTGGTATTTTGGTGGTGGCAAATAAAAGACATCAAAGGAATGACGGAGAACAAACAGGTAAGCTCGCAGTAGTGCCTTCACAGGATATTCTTACAGTTTCTGCACTGCTTCTGTGGTTCTGGGATTACCTGAGGTGAACATGGTGCCTGGATCTTTCTTTCATTAATATCCACTCTTTTGGGAGTTTATTTAAGCCCAAGCATCCAGATTACTCCATAAATATAGGGATTTCTATAATTCCTTTCTTCTTGATAGCTCTTAAATTTTTAATAAGAGGAGAGGTAGAAACAACAATAAACAAAAAACAACCAACCAAAAAAAAAAATCCTTTTCCCAGAGTTAGAAAGGAAGAAATGGCACAATTCACATTCCTATGGAAGTATGTATAAAAATATATACTTATTATTTTTATCTACCTTGAAAACTTGGCTTTGGAGCTGGCAAGTCTTGTACATGAAGTGTTGAATAAGAAGCTGGAATACCGATCTCCAAAATTCATAATGCCTTTTGCTTTCTCCACGGAGATGGAGCTGAGGAGCCTGGCAGGCTTTTTGGAAGTGTTTCAGAGTTGGAATCTAATAATTAATTAACACTTCATCTTTACAGCTCTGTTGCTCAGTCCTAATACAAATCTAATTTTTTAATGAGAAGCCTCAAAAAACATCCAAACTTAACACCAGCTTCATTAAAGTTTTACATTAACCCTGATGATAGTAATTTCTCAGCTAATTATGTGTGGAAAAGAGGTTGTTTACTGTTGAATTTGTCTAATTGGAGACTCTGTTTGTTTCCTTAAGCTAGGTAGCCAACATAAATAAGAAATAAATATGAAGAGCAAACATAAATATAATGCTCTACATAAATATGAAGAGCAAACAGTCATGGGTTTGTTTTGCTGCTTAAGATATAGCCATAGCTGTTTTCTGGAGGTTACCTGAGGGAATAGGATGAGATATGTTAGTGTTAGGCTCTAGAACTCTCCTTGTCCGTGTGCATGCATATAACATCTGAAGATAACTTTATCATATATGATTTGTTTGTATGAGTTGTCTTTTAGATGAGTTCATTTGTTGATAATGTTCAATTTCATGATCATTGCCATGAATGGTACTAGGGATTGTTGTTAAATCTTGCAAAGAAATTAGAAACTTCTTGACTGAAACATTGTGTTTGAGGAAGTCAGGTATGAGAATTTGTTTTGCTACAAATTTGAGCTTGCAGGAATCTGCTACTAAATGCAGTGGTGGAATGTCTGAGGAGTAAAAAGCCATCAGATCTGCCCTCACATGGTGCATGGCCGTGATTTCCAGCGTATCTTGTTTTTCTGTCTTCTTACATCTTGAAGTCATTTGGTGAAGATTCTCTTTTGTACAGGAATAGGAAAATGTGGACACTTAGTGATAAAATATTAGAATTTCCTAATCATCAACTGAAAATTCTGTTTTACAGGCAATTGAAAAGCTACAGGCTGGCGCTCTTGCAACAGATGCAGTGACTGCAGCACTTATAGAATTAGAGGTAAGAATTTTTGACAACTAAAATATATCTCAGGCACATTGTCACATTTTTCTGTAGGAAGGTACTAATTCAAGGGGGGAAGGTACCCCCCCCTTGAATCTACTGAGATTTTCCTTTTTGTGTCTTAAATTTAGTTATCTGTGCAGATAGGGAAGCTATACTAATTTTATCTTGCCTTTTCGTTCTTTTTTGGAATAAATGTGTTTAAAGACTTCTAAAACTGCCAAGTGAATAAAAGTTCTGTACTTGGTTCAAATTGGTTGTTATCTCAGGTATGTTTTATCAGATAGTCTTTAACAGTAAAATTTAAACAAACAAACAAAAATGGTTAAAGATTTATCCAACCCTTTTTAGGGAAGTTCTGACTTACAGGTGGGCTGCACTGGCTCTACTTATTAGGTGGGGAAAAATCATGCTACTGTTAACATTGGCTAACCAGATGTCCTTGAATAAGTTCTCTCTCTCTCTCTTTTTTTTTTTTTTTGCATTAGTATCTCAGTTATGTTTCGTTTCTTCAAATTATAGTCCAAAGAATTTAGATGTAGTTAGTCCTTAATAACTGTATTAATGCTCTCAGGTAGCAATTATATTGATGTAACTGTCTCTGATGTGCTTCCTGGATTGTGTTATTCATATCTTTTTCACTCCTTCAGGATAATATTGCGGAAGTGATTGTATAAATTAAAGTTGCTAGTCTCTGTCCAATTAAACGACTATTAGAAAATGAAGTAGGAATTTTAAGTTCTCATTTGTTCCACATCATACTTGAGCTATGCACTTGAATTAATGTAATTCATGAAGGCTTTTTTCCTTATATTTTCACTTTTTTTCCTCTATGATCTCTGTCCGATAAGATAGGAGAATAGAAGCAGTCTGTTTGGCGAAATGCAGCTTTTTGTAAAATTATCTTTTTTTTCCTGATTTTTATGACCAGCTGTATATAGAAGGGTAGGACAAGTAATGCTTTTATTCAAAATGGATTTTTTATATAAGATACAAAGAATCAATAATTATAAGGAGATGAGCAGCTGTTTGTAAGGCATTTGGAAGAGTCTCTTTTTGGAATGGTGGGATTTTACAGCATCTGACTTTAGTGAAAGGTCCCTGTGAAAAAAGGAAAAGGGGAGTAAAGCTAAAAGATTTTCTGGGATATAAATGAGGAAGTTTAATATTAATGATTGTCCCAGGTTCACTTACCCTCATGGCAGTAATTGTTTCATCCTCTCCAACTTTAGTAGTAAAAAAAAGGAAGCTGATGTAAGTGTTCTGCTGTAAAAATAACGTCCTGGTTTGGGAATGTATTGTCATGTTTGAGAGGAGTAGCAGTGGATTTGCTCGCACACATGTTTAGGAAGTATTAATTAACATATGTGGTAGGGCTAGCATAAGGCAGGCAGTGTGTACCTCCATATGCATTAGGCATGCTGACTAGGTGCCAAGGCTTCAGTCATACTTTTAACTTGGTGAACTTTTTGACTTTGAAGAGTACTCCAGGTCTCCACCGAACTGTTCAAATAGGCTTTCATGTGCTATCTTACACATTAAAATAGATCTAGGTGAGAATAAAAGATAAATTCTCTGTAGAGGAATTATTTATGATGCACATCTATAAGCTAACTGAATCTGCTGTTTTTCTACAAGATTGTTTTGTGATCCAGTTCCCTCCTTGTTGGAAGAAAAATTTCATATTTTGTGTTGTGATTTGTATTGTGCTCCTGAACTAAGTAGAAGAAAACATATTTTAAGAAGCTTAAGTTAAAAGCTATGTATCTCCTTGCAGCTGTGCCCGGGGTAATTATTTTCTGTTTTTGATATCCCTAAGAAAATCTTTTGCTGTAATAGATTTAAATATTCTGAAGTGACATCTTACAGATGTCACGGCTTTAAGATGAAATTAAAACATATTTAGGGAATTAATCTGATCAGCAATCTTTTTCTTCTTTTCTGTCCTGCTACTGCTCTGGTGATGCCTACCATCATTCTACTTCCTGTTTTTGTAATTGTATTAGGTAGTATTTTTATGTGTACTGTTGTACAAAACCTGTTTATTTATTTATTTATTCATGTTTTTAAGATTAATTATTATTTTTTTTCAGGCTATTCTTCCACTGTTCTCAACGTAATTATTGGCTTTCATTTACTCATTAAGTGATTTGTATAACTTAATTGTGCATCATTCTCTTTTTTTACTGTGATAAAGAATATTGGGTTTGGGATTTGGGCTTCTTTTAAATTAAACTTTACAGCTATGCATTTACATCGAGGAAGAATCAAAGGTATACTCAGAACATAAAATGGTGTGTTTTGCAGTGGCAATTTTTTGGAACTGGTATGAGAAATTCCAAAGTGTTAGATGGTGTGCTTTGAAAATGTTGAAAGGTTTGTGTCCCCTCATATCTCATGGTGAACACCACCTCCAGGGATGTCCATCTTTTCTCTAGCTGAGTCTTCTGTTTTACTTCCAGTTCTTTTCCTATTCCTGTCTGGAAAACAGAAACTTTATGTGGCAAACCAACAAAGCAAACAGAGAAAATTTTCTCTTTCATTATAAGACTTTATAGGTAGAAATGTAGGTTTGTATGTTGACTGTCTCTCTTGTGAGATATCACTACTCTTGTTTATGCAGAAAAAATATTGACATTTTCATCAAGTACTTTTAGCATTTCAAATTGGGAAGTACATAGTAAAAATCTGTATAAAAACTGTTTTGTTTGTTTGCATCTGCCACTGCAATATAGATTAAGGTAATGAACAACAATATTTTGTATTACATGATAACAGATTCCATTGTGGAATACTGTTTCAAACTTCTTTATATTTTGGTTGCTGTAGAACACATTACAGTGAGTTTATCTGAAATATTTAATCTCTTTTACAGTTCTGTAGAGTTTTTAATGCTGTATTCCAAAAATCTGTAGTCTTTGCAAGACACACAAATCTTTTCATGGAAGTGTCACAAAAGATTAATTTTTTTTCCCCTCAGTTCCGCTCAATTACACAACTCCTATTACACAGAATTTCAGCTAATCCAAGAGGCATCACTTCAAAGACTTGTTGAGGCGCAAGACTTGCTCTTGATCTTTTATGAGCAAGCTGACAGTTTGCTTGTGGTATGCTGTCTGTTTTTTGTTTTATTTTTGCAGGCTCCAAATGGAGAATGAACAGCCTTTTTTTGTTGGACTTTGAATCTCAAATGAAATAGTGGATAGATTAACATATAATGCTAATAGTTTTTTGAGGAAAGGTAGATTACTTTTACCAAACAACAACACCTGACCCAGAATACTGTTGAAATAACTGCACTGGTCTTCATAAGCATCAGCTGTATTTCGTAAGTTGATTAAAGGCAGTTAACGTTTTCCAGTTTGTGAACTCTGTCATTGCAGAGAAACAAATGAACAGGTTACATTTTCAGCTTTTGGTAATAAAATGGATATGGACAAGGTGCTTCATAAAACTCATCATTTACACTGTATTCTTCTACAAAGACATGAGCCCAGAATCATTTATTTTTGCAATCTTGCTATCAGCCACCATATGAAGTCTGAACTTGCCTTGAAAAACAAAGGGATTTGGGCAGGTTTTTTTTTTCCTTATGAAACTTTCAGTTTTCAACAAAACCACATGCTGATTGAATTTATGGCTGGCTGGAGAAGTGATGTGCAATTTCAAGCTTAGAGTATAGAGCACTTCAGAGGGTCTACTACTCAAATATCAGAGACGAGAGTGTAAGTTTGTTGTAGAGGATGATGAAGATACTAAAATTTCTCTAAGTGTAGTCTCAGTTTGTTAATATTATGTTTACATTGCGTGTTTCTTTAGTTTGACTTCTGTGGAATATTATTTATGAACATCATTTAAATTGGAAATTAATGTGATTGATGGGAAGTGGATGTCACATTTTGCTTTTGATCTCCTTGCTACTAAAATTCCTGTATCTACTTTGCTTGTTTTTTAGCCTCAATTCAAAGGAACACAAAGCAAAATTTTGCATTGAAGTAGTTTACTTCTTGTTGAATTGTGGTTGGTTTTTAAACATGATTTATTAATTTTATAGTAAATAAGATTTTGGAATACAGAATCATAGTCCCAAGGATATATTTTTAAAGCTGAAAGGACGATGCCAGCAGCACTGTTGGGGTAAGGCAGTCGCCATAGATGAACATTAAATGGATAATGAACTGAAGTTGTTAATTCTAGTTAAAAGCATTGCTGTGATGTTTTGCAGCAGAGTGACTAACAGTAATCTGTGACAAAAGTGTTCTTTAAGAACATCTTAGCTGATTTAGTTGAAAGGGACCTAAGTCATCCTTGTAGACTGACTTCTTGTCACTGAATTCCCACAGAAAAATGAATTTTAAAATTGCAGTGTGTAGAAAGAAATGGCTGTAGACTTTGAAATCCTTTTCAAAGTTGCAAATAAACCTTGGCCTAAACTGTAGCAAAGATGAATGTAATGCTCTTTAATACATGTCAAAATAGAACATTTTAACTATTTGCCTAGATGTAATTCTGGACTATTAGAGTTGAGTAACATCTTCAAGCATTCCAACTTTGACCACAGCTAGAAACTTCAGCATGCCTGTGATTGCTGCCAGAACATTTTCAAATACATCTTGAAATAAAAAGGAGTCTACAAATGAAAATGATACCCTTGGTAGCTTAAGAGTTTTTACAAGATGGGCTAACTTTGGAAAATTAAATTCTTGTTCCACATCTTAAAGCTTTGTATTATCTCTTTACTACGGTTTCAAGTTTTAAGTTAGAGATACTTCAGTGATGGTGTAATTGCTGTAGTCTAGTGTTTTTCACAAATTCGAAAGCTTTTGTTTTATTAAAATGCTTTGAATAGACACTTGTTTGTCTTCTCTTGTGTTTACTTTTGTGTAGTGGTAGGGCTTGCTGTTAGCTTGCAAAGCTCATGCTGTTTTGCTTGCTTATCTGATCTTTTTCTGACAGCTTAGAGATATAAAGGCTGATCTCTGCGTGTGTTTTTTAAATACAAGTAAATACCTGAATATGCCTACTGGTACAACTTTCTTTTCCTTCTTTCCCTCCCTCCCCCAGTTGGGTACAGCTTGGGGAATCACTTCTTGCAGTTCTGCAGAAGCTCAGTTTATTTTTTGCCTTTTGAAAGCATGCACACTTGTTTTAATAATGTTTCCACATTCCTCAAAGGCTGTGCATTTTCATTTTAAAGCACTTCTTAATTTTTCTAGATTGTATTCCAAAATTTGTTTATCAGAGTCTTGAAATCTTTTGGTCAAACTTTGCAGAGATTCGTGTGTTCCAAAAAGAGGTGTATTAACGCGTGGTATTTCATGTCCTTGTCTATTCATAGATGTGGGTGTGAATATCTGTTTCCATTTGTTATAAAGGTTTTTCCCTGCCTCATTTCAAAGGCTTTACATCTCATCTCATCTAATTTCAAAGACACTCTGGTAGGTGTCAGAGATTCTGTGCTGTTCACACCCAGTTCCTGCGCTGTCTAAAGCTGTTATCAGATCAGCTTTTAGGTTTGTGAAGCTAGAGAGACCACCTTTCTCGTGGCAATTCTGAGACTGCATCTTAACTGAGTGCTGTCTCATTGTAAAGCTCCACAGAAATTCTGAGCAGGCCCTTGGAATTTGCTCTTCATTTCTTTTTTTACTGGAGAAGTTGCTCAGGTTGTGAGTGAGTGTACTGGTAAGACTCCTTAGTTCTGAAATGAAAGTTGTGCCATCAAAGAGGCACCTTCTGTTTTGTTGGTTTAGATACATACTATGTGGTAAGTAGGGTGACATTCTCATAAATATTTTGTGGTATTCAGAGAGGAGAAACAGGCAGCATTTGCTTTGTCTTGAGATCCTCTCATAAGTCATCTCTTGGTGCATCCTCGATGTTGTGCCAGTGAAGGTGTTACTCCAAAGCACTTCTTGATTTTTAGAAATAAACTGAACTAGTGCTACTATGTAGCCTTTTTTTTTTGTATTATTATTACTGTTTTCCTTAAACTCTCTTAGTTATTACATGTATCAGATAGTAGGAAGCTTTGTATCTTTTTGTATCTTGCAGGCAGAAGGATTCTAGACAGAGTAGCCAGGATTTCTGTTCTGATAGGTCCTCCCTGCTCCCTTTATGTGGCCCTGACATCCACTTTTAAGGTAACAGCTGTCTTTGCTTTGTGGCTGTGACAGATCTATAGAACACAAAATTCTTGCTCTTTGCTAATGTTTTTGAGTATAATGTACTGAGCAAATGTTTTTGGAACAGAGCCTTAGAAATTAGTCTCAGACTTGCAGATCTCTGTGCTCCGATTACCTGAGAACAAGGAACTTGGAGAGCTCTAGGAGTAAGCACAGTTCATCCTAATGCATTCCTGTTTTTCCTTTGTCCTCCAGGAATTTTTCGCCGTTTGCATTCAGATTCCTTCTGTCACTTCTGTGCTCCTTTTGTTCTAAAACTTCACTGGCTTAATTTTCTTCATAGTTGCAGTCTGGCAAGCAATACAGTTGGCTAAGCCCGCTCCTTCTCGGCAATCTTCCCCCTTTACAAGGCCATCATCTTGGTAGCCTTCCACCCTTTCCCCTTTCTAGGGAAAGTTATTCACTGTGCGCTGAGCTGCAAGTGTTTCAACTTCTCATCCACTTTACCTCTTTTCTGTGATGCATATCTGTCAAAATGAACAACACAATGAATGGACACAATGAATTTGAAGATTTGGTATGGCATGAGATAAAGTGGGATAGGATAAAAATTTGTGCTACTTCTTGGATGCGGAAGAAAACCAGAAAATAAAGATGAGTGATGTAGAATTAACACAACAGAGAGATTACTGTCTGTTTACTGATTGATCATGTATTAATGATTCTCCACTGTTACCTTTAAGCATAAAACTCCAGCAAGACTGCATTTTGATAACTGTTTCCAGCCCTAGTGTGCTAAATACCTTATCTCTGTAAATTAGAATCAGTACCTTGCAAAACAGGTTTTGTATTTGCTCATTACTGTTCATCTGAAAGTTAACAAAAGAGTACTGACTGGCTGCAAAGGTTTTTTTCATTTCTGTTCTCCCTCTTTCTTTAGTTTCCTTGCATTCATTGCAAACTAGCGTGTGCAAAATAGAGCCAATTCTCTTAACATTTAAGACAGAACTTTGTTTCCAATAGATGTGTTTCCTGATTCTGCATATATTATGTGTATTTGTAACATTACGGCCATCTAATTTCTATGATATATTTACATACGGTCTAGACAACCGTTTTATTTCTTACGTGAGGTTGTTATATCTGTTTTTATTACAATAGCATAAAACTCTAAAAGCGTGCAGCATCTCTAAAATGTTACTGTTTGAATGTTCTGGCCTGTTTTCTTTCTTCATTTTGTACTCAGTTTTGTGCCTGCGTATGAAAAGTGGTAGTTATGTTGACCTAATGGTGAGACTTCTGGACTATGCCACTTCAAAGCTTTGTGATTTTAGAATCATGGTGATGCTCCGAGGGAATGTGTAGGCAACAATTCGTACTTTTACATCTAGCATGTGATACTTCTTGTTTGAACTTCTTGTTTGACAAACTTGAGTTTGCAAAAACTACAGAAAACTCTAATAAAAGATGCGTTAGTTTTTAATTGGTAATGACTGTCCTTGTGCTAGTGTTCAAAGAGGAATTTTGCAAAGTGAATTCTTTTTATTGGTGCTGATTCCTCATTTCTGTGTGCAAGGCTGAAGTCACAGTCTTATCATCTTAAGGAAACATACAGTTCTGTTTTGCTGCTCCGCCATACTTGAGGGTTTCCAAAGTAGGCTGTGGTCTCTGTGGAAGAGATTTTGACTCATCTTGTAAAGCTTTTGCTTGCATATAAATGATTATCTAAATTTGTCGTGTGGTTATTATTTCTAATAGCACATTATTACACTTGAGATGTATCCCACTGAAGAGGGTATAAGGTATCTATGGTAGTAATTTGAAGTGACCAGTGCAAATTGCTCTTTTTGGTTGTTGTGGTAGATTGAAATACTGCAATAAGAAATTGTGCTGTACAAAGACCGGTGTCACCACATTCGTTATGCAAAGGTCTTGATGTAGTCTGTTATGGATGTGGCCTTACCGTGTTTTATTCTTATTTTTAGGATTCTCCTTTTACAAATGCAGGAATGGGGTCTAACCTAAACCTTCTGGGTGAGATAGAATGTGATGCCAGTATAATGGATGGAAAGTCATTAAATTTTGGAGCTGTTGGAGCACTGAGTGGTATGTTACTTATGTATTGTAAAGCTAACTACTGATTTATGTGCAAAGATCAATCTTGTTCTTTTTTGTTATGTTTCTGGAGGGGGGTGGCATTATAAAATACTTCCCTGTTTAATAAATTCTTTCCCTTTAAGGGGAGAAGGAGGCATTCCCGCACACTGAAATGCTGCTTTGTGTTGTTGCAGTGTGTTGTCTTGTTAGTTCACTGATAATCCTTTGATGCAGAATGATCACGTGAGAAAGTATTCACCAATGCGGTTAAATTTGCTCAGATGGCTTTGGAGAATGAACCTTTATGATATGATAACTTCATATGAAATTGCAATTATCCATCTTTCTACATTTTTCTTTTTTTAAAAAAAAAAGAATACTAGCATTTAAATTCCACTCGCTTTATATTTGTTTTTGTTATCTGCCACTTTGGGGAACTTACTGTTACATAATTCAGTCATAAGGTTACCTGATAGTTGATAGTTAGTCTGTTAGTTAAACTGGTCGAATTAGGATACCAAGGAACTGAGATTTCCTTTACAGTGTCAGAAAGCTACATAGATTGCTCAGCTCAAAACTGAAGCTTATTGTTTATTCTCGAGAATGGGTTTAGCTAATCATCTGTCAAGCTATTTGCCTGTGACATAAAATTTCTGTTTAATATGGATTTTTTTTCATTATAATTTTTCTCACATGAATAGTTACATTTTTATTATTTGTTTTGTGAAACTATTGCGAGGTTTGATGAATATGCATACAGGATTTATTTAATCTGAGAAATAATGTGTTTTTCTTCTCCTTTTTGCCTAGCTTTACCTTTTATTACAAAACAAATATACAGTCCCAAATAGGGATTGCTGAGCTCTTGCCCTAAGTATGTTCAACAGCCTTAACTGTTACCATTGAATAACTTTTCTGACAATGTTTCAAGCTTTGTTCTTTATCCTAGAACAGTTCTGAACTGTGGTAATAACTTCCTCATGTAGATATAAATCTAAAATAAATAGTGAAATGAAGTGTTTCAGGGCTTGCTTGTTACAAAAAATACCCTTCAAACCATGGCAAAGGAGAAAATGAAGGAGTGAGAAAAAGCTAAACCTGAATCCTATAATCCCTGTTCTGGCCAGGTAGATCCAAATAAAAGCTTTTTCCGTCTTGAAAAATTAATACTCATAAAATGTCTTTGGCCTGTAGAATACCACTGAGTTAATTTTGAGACTTCTGTGGTAGGCAGTCACTCCTAATATTTCAGTATGCTTCTTTCTTTAAAAAACAAAACAAAATTAATTAAATTAGTTAATTAAAAGGCCTTGCCATCACTGATAGGATATGTGAAGGAAAAACTGATAAAAAGTGTTATTAAATCAAAACATAGCACCCTGAGGTATCTCTTATTGAATTGCCAAAGCCTTGGAAATTAAAGGAAGCTGACTTCCATTGCCAAAATGAACATTAAAATGCAATGTGGAAAAATATTTTAATGTTTTGTTCCTTTTTTTTTTTTTTTTTTTTTTTCTGCTAATTTTTCTTTTCAGGGATCAAGAATCCGGTTTCAGTTGCAAATAGGTTGTTGTGTGAAGGGCAGAAGGGAAAACTCTCTGCTGGCAGAATTCCACCTTGGTAATTGCTTTGTTCTGCTTGTCTTTATTTTCGTCTTATGTCTCTACTGCATGTGATATTTGAAGGCTATATCTTATCCAAAGAAGGCTGATGCTGCTTTACATACCAGCTAGAGTGTGCTTTTTAAAAGAAGCTAAGTTTTGTTCTCTGATCTTGAAACATCTTGTGCACTTGATGCAGCTGCGTGTAGAAGTATTGTGGATAGATGGGGATGTCAGGTTGTGATAATTTCTGTCTGTGTTATTATTTCCAAATTTATGTCATACTGAATTCTTATGGTTTTTACTATATAATTTTGAAAAATCTGTGAATGCATCAAAATTAAAGTGAAATTCTACTACCTTTACCTCTGTTTACCTTAAAAAACAAGCAAGAACACAAAGCTTTTAAAAAGTATGTACAAGAATCCTGCTTCATTGACTATGTGGCTTTATTTTGTAGCTAAAACATGAAAATTTCCAGTGTTTACTTGGAAGTTGTTTTAAACATGGTTTCAATAGTATTTACAGCACCAATGAAAACATGCTTTATTGATATCGGTATAATACCTGTATGAAAGAGGAAACTATTAAGCACATGACAACTTTGAATATTACTGGAAAGAATCCAAGAATTGTTTTGGAATTGATTGATTTTAAAAGCATCTTATTTTCATCAGCAGTTTAAATTGACAAGGAGCTTGAACTCAAAGTGGTTACCTCAGTTATCATACTCACTGCAAAAAAATTGCTACCATTTGCTCACTGACTGCAATATTGGCAGATGTATTAAATCAGCACTTATGTTGTTTGAAATTCCTGTATTCAGATTTACAGATTTTACTTTCCTTACTGTGTTATTCTTCCTCTAAAACTATCCAAATAGACAGTCTCTATCTGATAGTACACCATTCCAGTTTAAACAGTGAGGAAAACTACTATTTCAGTGTTCTGTAATGCTGCAAAGGTAGGTCACAGATTGGAAACAGGCATTCCAAAACCAGCCCATCAACAAGCAGATGTTGCATTTAAAATTGTTTTCTTTACTAAAAATAAAAGAAAGAGTGATTGTAGTTAGCGAGAACTTCTTTTTTTGGAGGAGTTAACTAAGGTTCAATTTCAGTTGCTGCAAGTAGCTTATTTCTTGAGATTTCAGGAGAAAGCCAACATTTAGATAAAATATATTAAAAGGGGGTGTCAAATGGGGTGGTTGTTGGTTTTGTTTATTTATTTGTTTATTTTCAGGACAGGGGAGTTTTGTGGTCTCCTACAGGAGCAAGCACTTGTGATTTAGTTTTGTCTCTACCATCACAGTATTTTCTCTAATTGTGGCAAGGAAGAGTACCTGGGATAGTCTGTATCCTATTTCAGCATGTTTTCTGTAACTTCATGACCTAGTTTATGTCACAATAATTTTAAAAATAACTGAATGGAAAAGAAGCTGTATCTGCTTGTCCTCAAAAGACAAGACTAAAATTTTCCAACACTGTGCAAGGTCTTGACTAACAAACGATGTAAAAGACAAGGGAGCTCAAATTGTCAAGGTGAGAAGTGAACTGTTTTCAGAGCCAACACATTCAGCTTATTGTGCAAATGCTTTGGATTTTATTTACCTATACATATTTCGATTTTTCCTTCCCCTTTCTGAATTTTGAGTATGGATTTTATTAGAAAAAACCTAGTCACCTTGGGAACAATCCGTAGTAGTGGAACACAGTAGCTTGCTTTGGTAGATGCTCCTGTATGTGCAGGGTGTCCTGAGTTTGGAGTGGAGCTAATGATCGTGGTAGGTGATGACTGTTGACAATTTCATGCCTTGCCTTTCTGGCAGGGCTTGGCGTAACACGTTCTTGTTCCAGGAGTGAAACATATTCCAGCACAAGCTGGGAAAATATGTTGTCAAGTAGCAAGAGAACAGCTGTATTTTTGGCGTTCTTCCCAAGTGTTAGGCTTTCAGTAACAGATTTTTATTTGTGAAGGTACACAAGTTTCATCTTGTTTCTTGTGGGCAAATAGTGTGTTGGAGAGTCTCAGATAATGCATAGCCTAAGAACCTATCTTGTTAAAGAAACCTGGTGGCAGAGACAGCTTCTATAGCATGAACTAAGCTAGCTTCTTGTTTTCTGGCCAGGATGTTTGGCACAGGACCACATGAGAGAAATTCACGAACTGTGAGATCAGTAGAAGTGGCATTATGGAGGGAGAGGCTTGTCTGTAAGAGAGGCAGTTAGTTTGGCCTGTTTACCACTGTTCTGCACCCATTTGTACAGTGACATTTCAAAATGGCACATTTCTAATTTGCTGTAGAAGAAATTCTAATGAGTGTGAATTTCTTTATTTGGAGATGGTAAGTTTATTGGGGAGGAGCGATCAAGTGTCCTGACTGGTACATGTATGCAGTTTGCTGGGAATTGCTCTGAGGTCTGGTCATTCTTGAACAATATCTTGTTGTTGAGTTCAAAACACAGAATCCCACTATCCAAATTAAAATTTAAAAAGTTTCTAGTAGAGAATCCCTGCATGGATGAGTGTATTTGTTAAAGCTGTTCTAAGGTCCTTACGCCTTCTCTCATAGTTTGTTCAGCTTGTTGTTGGCAGGATGTTCTCTATCTGTGATGCAATGATAGAATATACCGAACTCTTCAATGTTACATATTATCCTATAAGACGTTCCTAATTGTTGTATAACTTTACAAAAGAAAGAACAATTATAGTTGCACAATTGCACATTGGGTGGATCACTGAGAATCATCTTTGGTCCCAGAATAATGGATTAGACGTTTTGTACTAATAGCTTTTAAGGTTTTTTTTTTGATTGTTTTTTTTTTTTTTTTTTTTTTTTTTCATATGCTGAAATGAGGGATACCTGATCTTCCTAAGAGAAAAAAGCTTATTTACATCTTTTACTATTTCCTTTATATGTGTAAGGATTGTAAGATGGTACAAATAGACCTAAATGTCTCCTTTTTTTTTTTTAACAATTCTTTTGTATTATTGATTTCAAAGTTCATATTTCCATCCATTTTTCAGTATTAATAATAATCTATATGGGAAGAAGGACTTCCCCCCTCTCCCCCCTCTGGACATGCAGGATTTTGCAGTTCTCACTCCTGGGATGCACGGTGCTATAGACAGGATATGTATGCTGGGTAACTTGCAGGGCAGTGCATAGTCAAGAATGTGCATAGATTGATGACTCACCACCTTTTATCTCTGTTCTTGATGTCATCTCAATAATTTCTTCAGTGCAAGAGTGATTTCAGAGTGATTGCTGCATTTTAAAATAAGCATTACAAAATTTGTTACATTCAGGATCACCTTGACCATCTGTCATGAACCTAACCCTCTTCTGCCACTTCTGTTCATCTCCATGTAGCCTGTCTCCATACAGCCCATATTAAATGGTCCTGTTTGGATCAACCAGTGCCAGGAGAACCACGTTCTTGTGAAAATTTGCCTAGAAGGACCATTTTAAGGGTCCTTTGCCTACATTTTCACTTACTGTGTTGTAGTTTCCCTGGAATTGGAAAGCACCTCTAAACATGGACTTGGTGCTGGGAGGACTTGTTCATCTTCTGTGTGTTTGGAGCCTGTACCAGCTGCAGGGCACTCTTCATTTGATACATTTGCAAGAAAGATCTTTTTATCTTGTTTGTGTAGAACCAGCTTTCAGAGTAGCAGAGCACAAACTCTCATTCAGCCTTTTTTGTTTGTTTGTTTTCCCTTTTGGGAAAAAAAAATGTATTTTAAACTAGCCTAAAGGCTTTTGAGACTCAGCGGAGGTTTGGCTGCTTTCTGTAGCCCACTGGCTTTGTTCCCTATTTTCCCTCTTCCTCAGTTAATCATGCTTGGTGGGAGCTGTCTAGGGTTCGTTTTGCTTTTATGCCAGCTTAAGCTATAGCCCTGTTCATGCTTGCCTGCTGCAGCTCTTCTACATAGGTATATGGATGTGTCTTACGGCACCCGAAGTAGCTTGCTAAATGCCTGCTGGTTCCCACCTTCCCACCTCCCTGTGAGCTGAACCAGATCACAGAAACTTGCTTTTTGGGGTGGTGTGAAGACTATTTAGTCTTGTTTAGATTTACAATTATTTGGCTACCTGCAGAACTGAGTTCATGCTGTATGTCTGTAGGATTTGCTAACTAGCTACCTCGGTATCAGTTTAGAGGAGGGAGTACAGGTGGTATGGATAACAAAACACTGAGATCTTGATTTTTTGGCAAACTGATGATTGCAACTCCTCTGTGATTACGTTGTCCTTTCAGGACATCTGAAGTGAAAAATTAAAACAAACAAACAAAACCACTAACTATTCTTTGGGACCAGAACAGGAAAATGGTTTGCCTGTGTCCACCTTGTAACCAGGGAGATGACTCCAGGAATTAAGGACACAAGCAGGAGCAAAATAAAAGTCACATTACTTAAGTTTTGAACAACTTAGTACTTCTTGAACATTCTTGGGGGCTTTATTTTTCTTGCTTTGTAAATACCAGTGACTGTTTTTGTGTCTTTAAGTATAAAACAAGCAAGCAATTGTGAGATGTCAGGAAAATGTAGCATTTCTGACTGATCTGTGCTATTCAGGTTATCATCTGTATGACTCCTAATATCTGATCTTGGTACTTTTTGCAACTACCCTTCCTCTATTTTATTCAACAGGAAGCGATTACTCACTTCCTGACAATGTATAGTTGAAAGAAAGCTTCCTTTAGTCAGTGGTGGATACTACTTACTTCAGTTTGGCTACAGTTTGCATTTCTCTCTTATGTTAATATGAGTGACAGGTCGTTTCTTGATCACTAGCTTACCTAAAAGGAGACACTTGAGTTCTCCCAAAGTACCCGGTACCTTACTCTACAGTATCTTGCAACATGAAAAAATATTTATCTGGAGCTACACTAACAATGGTAAGAAATACATGTTTAACAATTCAAATTCTTATCTAGAGAAACTTTTTTTTTTGACACTTAGGGAAGGAAAGACTGAACTTGTAATGGTTGTGTCATAGAGAAGATGGAAAGTACCACTGCTAAATACTACATCCCGAAAGCTGCAGGTGTCAGATATAATACTATCAAGAAAATTTGCAGCAGTAGTAATGCCAATAAATTTTCTTTATCAATAACGTTCTCAGGAATTGATAGTATTATGTGGCCAGGGGGACTTTTGAGTAGCTAAAATAACTTCTTTTAACCTCATATTCATAATTCTGATATTTCAATAAAGCTTTTTGAAATTACTCTAAGTTCTTAGTCTTTGCTTCTTGTGCCCATTAGGCAGTTGTGGTATTCTGATTTCAAAAGGGAAATAGGAAGCAGTGACTGGAAACAGGTGTCCTTTCCTATGTTGCTGCTGTTGCTGCTTTTCAAGGGCTTTCTGAAAATGTATAATCTTCAACTACCACATTCCCTTTTTCAGGGAATCAGATTAATTTATCTAAGGGGAAGTGGTATAGATAATTGAGATGACTTTTTTTTTTGTTTTGTATTCCTAAAAGGTACATGTCTGTGTGTAACTCTTGCCATCTTTCATTATCATTGCAGTAAGTGCTGTCTCACTGCTTTAAAATGTTCAGTACTGACTACAAAAAAAAAAAACTTCCCAATTGTTTTTTGCCCCACGATTATATTAAATACTTAATGGACTTGTTTCATTTGCAAATGCTTGATAAAACACCATGAGATAGACCTCTGTCTTTCTAAAGCAAACTTATTTTTAGCTTGTGTCGTGCATCCCAAAGTAATTCTTGATATTCCAGTAGCACTGACTAACTTCACTGGAAATGTCGTACCATTCTTGTGTCATTCATCCCATGTTGTTAGTCTTCAGGATCTGACTTAGCTGTTATAGAGAGCAAGCCTATGGACAGCGCTGTGCTGTTTTAGCTGCAATTAAGAGCTGGTGCTATTTGGTAATTCATTTAAAATTTAATAGCACTTTTTTTTTATTCAATAGTAAACTTAATGTCAGAGCTGCATAGTCTTTTAATGAAACTACCTAAGGTTGCCAACTGCTTATAGCTGACTCTTCTGTGAAATGCAGACAGCTTACAGTTTTTAAATGACCAAACCAAATAGCAAAAATAATTGCAAGAAAAGGGGGATTTGTTATATGGTTTTGTTTAAACTCCCTCTTCTGTGTCTCCTAGCTTTTTAGTTGGTGAAGGAGCTTTCAGATGGGCAGTTGATCACGGGATACCAGCATGTCCTCCAGGTATCATGGCTACAAGTGAGTAAACTGGTGGTATGAGTAGGAAGAACAGGACAGAATAATTTAAAATAGTGCCTCATACGTTGAGGTATACATCATGTCGCTGTTCTTAACATTCAACTAGCTTACGGTATTATGGTGTATAAGGATGGTAACATTTAATCATTTTATATTAAGTATCTAAATAGCAAAAAGTAAGAACTGTTACTTCAGCTGCATTGTAGCAACATGTAATTCAAATGAATTTGTGATTCTAGGATTAAATATAACAAAGGACTTTTTTTTAATTATTACTTTTTAACCAAAATAGAGACTCAAACAGCTCAAGTTGTAATCCATCTTGGATCCAAAAAGCACCAACTATGCACGTATCTAAATAGGCTCAGATTCTGTAATTACATCCAGCTCTGATTCTTTGTCCAGGATTGTGTGGTATAAACAGACCATTATTATTATTTATTTTTTTAAACTTAGCTAGTCTTTTCTTCATCTAATATGGTGGAATGATCCAATCCAGCATGACTCAAAATATACTGTATGCTAAGAGTTGCCAGGTTTCTTATAAAAGCCTTCTTTTTTCTTAAAATAAGCAAAGTTCTTGGGGTATATTGATAAACCATGTACAAACTAGGCTAAAAATTTGTGCGTGTACCCATGGAAAGAAGGATGTAGTTCCCCTTCCTTTTCTTTCTCAGTCCCCAACCTTTTGGCAAGTGCCCTTACCATTAGTTTGTAGCTTGCTATTGTGGCGAGAACACGCCTAATACTTCCTATTTTTCCCATGCAGGCAAAAAGTCAGAGTTTATTACCAAGAAGACAGACAATTATACATTTTTTTATTTTATTTTATTTTTTTACAGTTTAAAAGATTACTGCATGGAATATGTGAGTAGTCCTGAAATCAGAAATTGAAAACCAGGGCTGCTATTAAGGCTTTTATTGGATGTACTTCTAAATGTAGATAAACATCCAGAAGTTGCCATTCAGAGTTGCTAATACTCAGCACTCAAATGTAACCCTAAGCAGTAGTACTGTTACACTCAATCATACCAATTTTCATACATATTCATGATGCATTTCATTTTGAACAAAAAATTTTGATTTCTATTCTCACATGACTTAAACTTACTCTATCTATTTGCTGTCCAGAACGGTATTTGCAGAACAACTTTTGGGCTCAGTTAAGCAAAACAGCTTTATTTCTGTGAATTTAGAAAAAGGGAAAAACTCTTAAAGGATTTTTTTTCAGATGTATTTGCTGTGTATGTGTAGGAGATCCTCCAGAAGGAGAGTTTCTTGGCTAGGTCTGTTTGAATGCACAAACATTTACCCTGTTTCTAGTACCACTGCCTTTCTGTTGTGACAGAGATGATCAGTTTCTAACGTTAATTTCCAAATGTTCTTTTATTTGCTAAAATGGTCAGAGCAAATTTATATATGAAGGCTTAAAAATAAGGATGACCACTGCTCCTTTGGTTTACATAACACAGACTGAATTTACACTGGAGACATACCAGATGAATAATCTCAGTTGATGTATTTTCCACAAACTAGCTCCAAAACATTAGTGATTTCTTTTTGTCTCTTCAGCACACTTAGAATATAGTTATTTGGCAAAACAATTTCCATTAAAACAATTAGCAGGATTGTGAAGTTAATCCCATTGCAAAGTCAATGCGGGAATGTCGTTTCCTGTTGCAATGTCCATGAATAAAGTATTGGTATCAAATATTGGTATTGAAGTAGTCAACCACCTCCCCCTCCCACCCGCAGACGTACACCCCACTTCCACCCAGGTTTGTGTGCAGTGAAGTACCCATATATATGATTATATGCTTGAGTCACTGCACAGGATGGACCTGATGCAGGAACGAGCTGATGCTGTGAGGCAGGCTGTGACTGTTAGGACTTGCATGCAGACTATCAGAGAATCATAGGATATCTGGCACTGGAAAAGACCCGCAAGGATCAGCGAGTGCAACTCCTGGCTGTGCAAAGGTTTTGCTCGAATGACTTCAGTTTAGGGTACTTGAAGGGTATGCTGGAAAAATAACAGTGGCAGAGATACTTTGTAATAATGAGCAATTAACTTAGACCGAATTCTTCACAGATGTTCTCTAATTCTGTTGCTTTTCCATAGCTTAAATTATAGTCCATAGCCAACCCAATTTACAGAATGGAGGTGTTTGACAATTATAGCCTTGAGCTTCAGATTCCCTCTCAAAAAAAGATAAGATGAACGTGTCCACTATTTAAATAACTAAAATGGATATATAAGAAAGAAAAAAAAACCTGCCTCAGCAACTTAAACATTGTCATTTTCCTGAGAACTGGAGTACACTTTATTGTGCAGTGATTACACTAGCTTGTACATTTGATTTTTCTTTAAAAAATGAAAAGGGCAAAACTAAATAAATATATGAAAAATCACTTTCAGAAAATAATATGTTGATTTCCTTAACAGTCCTTAGAAAAGTTACTCTCTAAAGTTGTCGGCTTCTGGTTAGTGAAGCTGGAAGGTAACCACTAACACCTTGAGTGTTACATGCAGTTGTTGTAACTGAAAGCAATTGGAAACTGTCTCATGGGTAACATGCAAAAAAGCCAAAATTGTTTGTTTTTTTCCAGTGTTATTAGTGAATTCAGAAATTGCAATGAAAGAGAAAGCTGTTTCCAAGTAACCACAAAGGATCTCATTTGAAGTGAGCTTTTGGACTACATAATGCAAGGAATTTCAAAAATTGGGAGAGGTTTTGATTATGCTTGCTATGTAGAGTTTTTGTGGATAGTAAGGGGGTAAATTAACTTGAAATGGTCTAACTGTTGGGTAGCCGTGTAAAGTGCAGAACCAAAATAATTGCCAAATGTCAGGGAAAATATGCCAGTAACTTAATTACAAACAAACAATAACAACAACAAAACACCAAAAAGAGCCCCACCAAGGCTCTAACTCAAACCGTAGACATATACTTGCAACAAGCATCAACAAGGAGAACTAGGTGCATATGTTCTGGCTTCTTGGTGCTGCACATGGAAAAAATATTCTTGGAGAACACATTATTCTCTCTTCCTTTTCCTGGACCTGAGAAGGCAAGAGGAATGTTATACTTGCTATGAGGCTTTGGGATTGTGTGGCTGGTTTTATAGTGATGGAGCTCTCTGTATGATCAGTTACAAAGAAAGCTGCATGATCAGCTTTGTGGTCACACTCCATAATTCTCTGAGAACTTCCAAAGCATTTGAGCACCAAACTGAAATGATGTTTTAAACCATGTTCTTTGTTGAACTACATTAAGGTTATGTCAAGGCTCACCTGCTTTGTCTTCTTCGGTTTGCCAAGTGTGCAAGGAAATGGGATTTCTACTGTATGTAGAAACCTGGTGGCTTCCAATGGAGTGAGTGTTTTTTCTTTTATTAAAAAAAATCAAAAAAGAAAAAAAAATAAAAACTGAAATGCAATCTGCTTGCATTGCCTACAGACTGCAAAAAAGCTGAATTTAATAATTCCTGCCCATACTAGAGCCCATACAAACTTATGCTAGCACTTCGTTACCCTGTGTAAGAGAGACTGCTCTGAAAGTGTGATCAAAATGTTGAGTGTAATTACAGTTTAGAAATTCTAATTGACTGTATCATGCAACCTCTCATGAATGTTGAAAGTATACTTTACTCTAAATTGGCAACGTAAATGTGAAATACAGCTTCAACTGCCAATATCTCTCTGCTTGCACTACTGATAACCAAACCACTTTTATCTCTGTTTTTCAGTCCAGCCTACAGTAGATGCAAAACAGTTGATTTGACAAGGATAATGCGGTACAAGACAGCATCTTATAATTATGCATCTTTGATGGGTGATGCCATCAGCCCTGGCTGGGTGGGAATGTGTTATGATGTATGTAATGTGAAGGTGGATCTACTTTGTACAACTGTGTTTGAAAGGGGGAGTTCAATTTCTAGCAGCCTAGAAACTGGCACAAAACTGGATATCGGGGTTACCAGCCTTAAGGCCTTTTATTTGTGAGATGGTAGTTATGGCACTTCATTTAAAATCCGACCAAGGTATCACAAAGGGGCTTTAAATGAGAACGTCAGTTTTATATCTGAAGCTGTGGTAGACCTAACCTAGTATTTGCTGCTAAAACAAATCAGAATTACTGCACAGCTAATGCTGCTGAGCATTGTCTTCCTACTTGACATAACATGGGGCTGCTTAAGTATACAGTCTTTAAAGAGAAGGGGAAGTACACTCGTGCAGTGTGCTTGTACCTCTAACTCTAATGGTGTGGAAGGGACCATAAGCACTTCAGTAAATTGTATTCCTTAAGAGCAGGAGCACCTACATCAGAAACTGGAAACCAAGTGTAGCTAGAATTGATGCTTGAAAAAAAAGGAATGAGCAGAGTGAATGTTTACCTCCTTTTCCCTACCCCATTTGCTGCCCTAGACAATAATCTCCTGAGTTAGGACTGATTCCTGCATACCTAGAGGTGATCGATGCTATTTTATGCCCTTGAGCCCACATTAGTTTCTTGCATCAGTAAAGACCTTTACAGCTCAACTATGGTTTGTTTGATTAACTACCTCTTTTTCATTATTTTGAGATCTGCTGAATAAAATCTGCTGGTTTATCATCAGTCACTGACTCAGAATCCTTCTTCAGTTCTTCTGCCCTGTGCTTACCTTGACTAGCTTAGCATCATCAGCTTGTATCATTGTTTTGGTACTGCTATACGTTGCTTTGGCATTCCAGTTATAACAGGCCATTTAGTCTGGCTTTGTTTTCTCTTACTTTAACCATAACAACATTCTTTATTATCCATGTAAGGATATTCCATTTTACCTTACGACTGCTTTGTTCCTTTAATGAAGGAGAGACGTTTCTAGGTGCCATGCAGGTGGTGGTACTTCTAGTGCCACCATATGCCTCCCTGTGCATCAGTACTGCCAATATTTGGCCTGTCTCTTTTCTAACCCCCCTCACACCTCCTCATTTTTTCTTCCACTTCACTGTTATT